CTGGTCAAAGCTGCCATTTTAAAAGCCTACGAGTTGACGCCCGAGGCTTATCGGATGAAATTCCGAAATCTTAGAAAACAGCCAACACAAACCTATGTGGAGTTTCTATTCGAGAAAGAAAAAGTTTTCTCGAGGTGGCTCAACTCAGAAGAAGTCTCAGAGTTTGAAAAACTCAAATCTCTGGTTCTGAAAGAAGAATTTCTGAAGTCCCTACCTGAAGAGATCCGTCTACATATCCTCGATAATAGGATAGTCGACATCAAGAAGGCTGCTGAGTCGGCAGACACATACATGCTGGTTCATAAAAGACCACAAGTGTCAAGTAACCGCCTCAATCCTGTACTCCCCCTTGTTGGCAACAGTATTCCTGTTGGCCAATCTCTGAAGTCGTTCCAGTCAATAGAGAAGCCCAGATCCACCACCAGTCGACGAGCAGTATGTCAATACTGTAAGAAACCTGGACATCTCATAAAGAACTGTTATAAGCGGCATCAAGTCAACAGAGAGGTTGTGCGTAAATCCGCGCATAACGCTCTCCTCCATCAGGCAGCCAGTTCAAATTTGAACTCCACTCTTCAGAATGACACTATCCCTAAGTGTCCACAGGAAAGGAATCAAATTTCCACCTCCTACGTTCAGTCATCTTTCGACTGTCAACTCCACCCTCCAGTTTCTTCCGAGGCAACCGATCTCGAGGGATCGAGAAAGGTTGGCTTCTCATCGTTCCTGGCAGAAGCTGTCATTTGCAACCCTGGTGATCCGTTGTCACAGCGGAACATAAATGTCCTGAGAGACACAGGGGCTTCACAGTCGCTTCTATTGAAGGGCTTAATGGACATTACACCGGAGACAAACACCGGGAATGTTACCATTATTCAAGGAGTGGAGTCAGAACCCACTGTAGTCCCTCTGCACAAGTTTATCCTGAGACATCATCTCGTCCAAGGAGAAGTCATCCTAGGGGTGATCGAAAGTATCCCTGTACCAGGAGTGCACCTGCTCCTAGGGAACGACTTAGCGGGAAGCAAAGTCTACCCCCATACGGTTCGAAACCCGTTGTCAACAATTCCAGATGATGATAATTAACTGTATCCTGCATGTGTGGTGACAAGAAGCCAGACCAAACAGTTGGCTGATACAGCGCCTGATCCACACGAATCATCATCAACAGGAAATCCAGCTCCCAAACTGGAACCTATGCCTCTAGAGGGTCCATTCATGGAATTGCCTCTGAGGATATCTCATGATGACATCGTTAAGGCTCAACAAGACGACGCAGAACTCCAATCGGTGGTCGAGAAATCCATCTCGGCTGACGATGGGGAGTACTTCACCGCGAACGACCTGATCTTCCGTCGTGTTTTACCAATGACTGCCTCACCTGCCGAACCATGGTTGGAAAAAAACCAACTGTGGGTCCCTCCACCTTATCGGCAGGAAATCCTGAAACTGGCCCATGACAACCCGATGTCAGCGCATCCAGGAGTCACGAAAACAATGGCGAAGATCAAGGAACTGTGTTTTTGGCCGAAAATGAGAAATGATGTGTCGCGTTACTGCAAACGTTGCACGAAGTGTCAGTTGGCCGGGAAACCCAATCAGAAAATTCCTAAGGCCCCGCTGAATCCGATTCCTGTGTTAGAAGAACCCTTCTCCAAAATCATCATGGACAGTGTCGGTCCCTTGCCGAAAACCAAGGCGGGCAACGAGTACCTACTTACCTTTATGTGTTCAAGTACCCGTTTTCCCGAAGCGTTCCCCCCTACGGAACATTAAGGCAAAGACCGTAGTCAGAGCCATGACCCGGTTCTTCACTACTTTTGGATGACCTAGAATTGTGCAAACCGACCAAGGCAGCAACTTTACCAGCCATCATTTTCAAGAAGCGCTAGCCAAGCTAGGCATTACCCACGTCACCAGCTCAGCGTACCACCCTCAGTCTCAATGTGCTCTTGAGAGGTTTCACCAGACCCTAAAAACCATGCTGAGAACTTTCGTTCGAAGTAATACTCAGTGGGATGAAGCCGTCCCGTTGATTATCTTCGCCGCTAGAGACTGTGTGCAAGGAATCTTTAGGTTACTCACCTTTTCAGCTTGTGTTCGGTCATTCTGTCCGTGGTCCCCTGAAGCTGATCCACGAACGTTGGACAGGTACCAGTAACCATCCACTGTAGAACTTTGACGATTTTCATGTCAGATTGAAAGCGGTGTGCGAGTTAGCTCACAAGAACTTAAGAAAGGCCCAAGTGAGGATGAAAGGACTGTATGACAAAAGTTCTCGAAAACGAACATTCATCCAGGCGAGAAAGTTCTTGTTCTCGTGCCTAACCCGAACAATGCTTTATCCTTAAGATATTGTGAACCCTTTACGGTGCATTCAAAATTAAGTGATTTGAACTATGTTGTCAATACTCCAGACAGATGGAAGAAACAGAAAGTGTATCATGTTAACTCACTAAAAAAGTACTATGAAGATAGTACCAATGTTCATTCCACAGCTAAGGTTACTTTACCTATATGTGTACTTAATGATTCGGATGATGTTATACATGACAAACTAAAGCCCCAAAATTGTTAAATTCTTCGTTTCAGGCCCATTTGAATGACCACCTAGTACATCTGTCCTCTGAGGAAAGCCAAAAATTGTCTCAGTTATTTGATACCTTTCCCTCCATTTTGAACCCAGTTTTAGCAATTTGAGCTCCCCCTGTCTGTTGGTCCCAAAAGAAACAAGGGGTGGCCCTGTGGTCTAGTGGCCAGGATCGCGCTCGCTCACGGCGGCGGCCGGGTTTCGGTTCCCGGTTAGATCCCATGACCCTTGGTGGCCTGTGTGGTCGGGTGGCCCTGTGGTCCAGTGGTTAGGATCTCGGCGCGCCACGGCGGCGGCCGAGGTTCGATTCCTCGATTCGGAAAACCACTAGCTTACGTGGTCTAGTGGGTCGACACTTAAGTGATCTGTAACTCAAAGTGGTCTAGTGGTTAGACACTTAAGTGATCTGTGAGTCTCTGTGGCCCACAAATTAATTATTGTTTATTACCTACGTTGATTGATCATGTGTCATTTTAGTGGTTACTTAAGACCATTTACAGATGATTGGTTTGTGTAATCTACACAGTCTCATGAAAATGAGTGGTCCGTGTTTTACATTTCAGACTTACAATCCTGTTGGATATCCTTATTATTTTCAAATGAATCTTGTTTAAAGGTGGGTTTTCATTATATGTAATATTTTATCATATAATATATCTTATGACTCAGTTGATGTTGTATCTAGTCATTGAAATAAAGGAATTACCTTGTCGGGTTTCCCACCTATTTTATCCACATGGAGATATTGTAGTACCCCTGTTTGAGGGACTTTGATGTATTATTATTTTTTGAAAGGGTTATCCCCCTTTCAGATATTGTAAAGGGTTGAATTACTTCCCTTTGATTTCCAGGGATATTTTCACCTGGTATTGAAATTTTTGTTCGCTTCATTTGTTGATTTTTTTACGTCAGATTTGTTCCTTATGTATGTTTTGTGTGGACAAATCTGCCTTTTCAAAAGGGAGGGGATGTGACCTACTTAGGTCTTGTATTTTTTTTAGTTTGACTTTTATTGCTCAACCATGAGTGACTGTTGTGCAACCACCAGGTAATTTTCCATAGTTCTAAGAAAGACATATACCCTAGTACTTTTCCATCACGAGTGGTGGTGCAATACTTTTATACTTTCGATTGGTTGATTCGGACATCAGAATTGTCCCAACCAATAGTCTCACGTTTTGAAGGTGACCTCCCATGTTGCCTCAGGTATCAAACGGTCTGCACAGACTTTTCTGCGGGCAGTCCACCTCAGCAGTCCGTAGTAGCAAGTCAGACCAGACATCTTTGAGAGAGAAAGCCTTGAGTGTCGCTATTTTGTAGCCTATAGTTGTGGTTTTAAGTAATATTTTGTGCTTTAAGTAGTGTAGTATAAGCTGTGGTAATTTTCCTAAGTGCCATATCCTGTGATAGTGTAAAATAGTGTTTTTTCCTCAAATTGTAAGTTGGGTTTTTGATATTCTACTCATTCATTGTATTCTGTATAAAGCTAGAGTCTTACCTTGAATTTGTACACATATTAAAAGTTATATATGGATTAAATGTGTTGTTGGCATCAGGAGTTCATCGAGTGTATCCCCTAGACGTTAAGTACGTGTCCTCGTTAACTGTTGTGCTAGCTATCATTTATAGGGCTTTAAGCCATCTGTGTATAACCATTCAAACGAACCCGGGTACGTTCGCCAGCTATCTGGCTGATAGAGTGGTGTTCGTAATAATAACATAAACATAAAACTCAAATTGTAACGCAATCATTAACATAAACGTAAATGCACGCAAGCAGTAACATAAACATAAATTTAAACAAATACAAAAAACGAACCACAAACTTTAACGCAAACATAATCAAAAAAGAAAACATAAACGAAAACACAAACACTAACTTAAACGTAAACACAAACGAAAATGCAAACATAGACGCAAAATATAAATGCAAATAATAACTAAAAAAATAATTTAAACAGAATCATAAACGTAAAAGAAAACAATACAAACGCAAAAAAAATGCAAACATTAAAGCAAACGCAAACAAAATGCAACCATAAACGGAAACGCAAACATGAACATACGCAAGTAGAACAAAATTATAATAAGGACATTCAGGTACGGTTTCTAAACCTTTACTGATTGAAACAATTATTAGTAAACAGTAAAATTAGAGTATAAAATAAATGAACGTAGTATTTAAAGTACATTTTTAACTGCTGCATTGCACTTTATTGATGCATGAAAATTCTGTAATTATTTTCAAGCTTGATCCCGATCAAGGGAAATTATTTGTATAATTATTCCACTACATGAAAAGTACAAATTAATTTTAAAAGAATAATTTAATAACTGAAAGATATTTCATTTATACAATGATAAGACATGTTCTTATTAATTAGTGTTTTTTCTTTTTTCTTGCTTATAGTAACCATTGACAAATCAAAGCCATTTCAGAGCTATTCAGCCATCTTGAGAGACTATTTTGAAAAAAACCAAGAAAGCCTTTTAACAAACATGGTTACCAGTTGGTCATTTTCACCAAAGGTAATTGATCTATGTTACTATTTAAATATCTATATCATTAGGGCAACGTTCGGAGATTAATATAATGACTAACATCTACAAAAACCTTTATAGTAACAAGGCTATATATAAAACTAGCCGTCATTAACATTGTAACTTCATATCTACAGTTTGAACGGGCGAAGAGTCTAAGAGCATTCAGTTGCAGTATCGCTTTCTGCCCGTCACCATCAAACCCCAAAGGCCATTTTGTTTGCTTCTTCAGAGGATCACCAGGGTATGCAAAATAATTTAATATACACACACATACACACAATATATATATATATATATATATATATATATATATATATATATATATATATATATATATATATATATATATATATATTATATATATATATATATATATATATATATATATATATATATATATATATATATATATATATATAATATACTAGCTCAGGGGTTGGCAATCTTTTGAGACAGAAGAGCCATAAGTAACAATTTACACAAATTCCAAGTTTTTAAAGAGCCACCAACATTTATATATATATATATGTATATATATATATATATATATATATATATATATATATATATATATATATATATATATATATATATAAAGCTATGTATGTGTGTTTGTGTGTCTGTTTTTCTTTTACGCATTACTACTCCATTCATCCGATCGAATTCTCCTGGGGAGTTTTCTTCGAAAAAAAGTTTATCAAATTCGCAGGAGTGGCGCACAGGCATGGCGCGCTTTACTTTTCCTCTATATACGGTATATAAAAAATAGAAGTCGATTGCGGATTGACACCCTTCATCCGATCATCATGAAACTTAAAGGAGTTGATTAAAACACTCCAGTAGAAGTTAGTGCAAAAAAATCATATTTTAAATTTCGGAGGGTGCAATTTTTCTCTACATACTGTAAAAAAAAGTCGGATGCGGTTCGACCAGAGTTTCTTCCAGGCAAATTTCTACCCTCCCCGAACGAAATGAAATTTATATAATTTATATAGAAAATATAAACTTTTAACAGTGTCCGCACCCCGAAGAAATTCTACCGCCCCCCCCCCCCCTCCCGAAAATTTCAAGTGCCCCCCGGAGAAAAAAGTCTGGAAGAAACACTGATTTTAAACAGCGCGGTAGGCTATGAATCCAATAGGTTGCTATAGTTGCACACTAAATCGAATCCGGCGCGCCCTAAGTCTCTGCAGGGTGCCCAGGGCTATCCCGCGAGCGCTAAGCGCCTACCATAGTTTTTTAAGGAGCACCCTACAATACGACATTCGATGATAATCCGAGCTAGGGATTAACAAGGGGGAAAAAAAGAAAACAAGGAAGTACGTTGAAATAGGGAGTATCTAAATATTCTAATAGAATATAGTGTTTATTGTTTATATTTATTATTATATCGTTCATTACCGAGTGTTGCAGACTAATACTTTTATGAGTTTAAAAAAAAAAAAAATAATTTTTAATATTTGTGCATGGAGCTGAAGAGCCGCAACTTGACATCAAAAGAGCCGCATGCGGCTCGCGAGCCGCAAGTTGCCGACCCCTGTACTAGCTGCATACCTGTGCCACGGTGAATCTTTTTTAAATGAACCAACTTAGGAACAGATCAAATCTAAACACAAAGTCTTATACCCGTACTTCGCTACGGTGTGGATATTACCTCAGAGTTTACCGCGCAACACGCGGGTGCGGGTCCCCGCATTGGCGCGAATTTTCCTTTAGCGCACAGCGCTGCGCGCGGGTAGCTTATATCCGTGCTTTACTACGCTTTGGATATGAATAATATCTCAGAGCAACGCGCCGCGCGCGGGTGGGGGGTTCCCGCATTGGGGTAGAAAATCCTCCACACCGCACTGCGCGGGTGTCGGTATCCTCGGAGTTTACCTCGCTGCGCGCGGATAGGAAGTCCCCGCATTAGGGCGGATATTTCTCCAGCGCTGCGCGCGGGTGTCAATAGCACTTTGGTAAAATTACGGTAAAACGAACATCCGCCCAGACATCTCTCCTCCCCGAACCCATGGCGTAATTTAAACCGCACGTTTACCCGGGCGTCCGCGCCCAGGGAGAGACTTCCACATGGTTCCAAAATCTATAGCGATGACGAACTGACACACTACATCACGGCTTATATTATAGACTAGACACAAACACAACCCATACCCGTGCTCCGCCACGGTAAATCTTTTTTAAATGTACCAACTTGGGAAAAGATCAAAACAAACAAAAGCATAAACACAACAAAAACACAAACACAACACAAACACAACACAACACAAACATAACACAATCACAATCACAACACAAACACAACACAAATACAAACACAACACAAACAAAACACAAACACAACACAAACACAACACAAACACAACACAAACACAACACAAACACAACAAAAACACAACACAAACACAACACAAACAAAACACAAACACAACACAAACACAACACAAACACAACACAAACACAACACAAACACGACACAAATACAACACAAACACAACACAACACAACACAACACAAACACAACACAAACACAACACAAACACAACACAAACACAACACAAACACAACACAAACACAACACAAACACAACACAAACACAACACAAACACAACACAAACACAACACAAACACAACACAAACACAACACAAACACAACACAAACACAACACAAACACAACACAAACACAACACAAACACAACACAAACACAACACAAACACAACACAAACACAACACAAACACAACACAAACACAACACAAACACAACACAACACAAACACAACACAACACAAACACAACATAAAAACAACACAAACACAACACAAACACAACACAAATACAACACAAACACAACACAAACACAACCCAAACACAACACAAACACAACGCAAACACAACGCAAACACAAAGCAACCACAACACAACACAAACACAATACAAACACAACACAAACACAACACAAACACAACACAAACACAAACACAACACAAACACAACACAAACACAACACAAACACAACACAAACACAACACAAACACGACACAAACACATCACAAACACAACACATACAACACAACACAAACACAACACAAACACAACACAAACACAACAAAAACACAACAAAAACACAACACAAACACAACACAAACACAACAACCCGGGCGTCCGCGCCCAGAGAGAGACTTCCACATGGTTCCAAAATCTATAGCGATGACGAACTGACACACTACATCGCGGCTTATATTATAGACTAGCTGCATACCCGTGCTCCGCCACGGTAAATCTTTTTTAAATGAACCAACTTGGGAAAAGATCAAAACAAACAAAAACACAAACACAACGCAAACACAACAGAACAGAACATAACACAACATAACACAACTTAACACAACATAACACATAACACATAACACATAACACATAACACATAACACATAACGCATAACGCATAACGCATAACACATAACACATAACACATAACACAAAACACAAAACACAAAAACACAAAACACATAACACATAACACATAACACATAACACATAACACATAACACATAACACATAACACATAACACATAACACATAACACATAACACATAACACATAACACATAACACATAACACATAACACATAACACATAACACATAACACATAACACATAACACATAACACATAACACATAACACATAACACATAACACATAACACATAACACATAACACATAACACATAACACATAACACATAACACATAACACATAACACATAACACATAACACATAACACATAACACATAACACATAACACATAACACATAACACATAACACATAACACATAACACATAACACAAAACACATAACACATAACACATAACACATAACACATAACACATAACACAACACAAAAACAACACAAACACAACACAGACACAACACAAACACAACACAAACACAAACACAACACAAACACAACACAAACACAACACAAACACAACACAAACACAACACAAACACAACACAAACACAAACACAACACAAACACAACGCAATGTACCAACTTGGGAAAAGATCAAAACAAACAAAAGCATAAACACAACAAAAACACAAACACAACACAAACACAACACAACACAAACATAACACAATCACAATCACAACACAAACACAACACAAACACAAACACAACACAAACAAAACACAAACACAACACAAACACAACACAAACACAACACAA